CTCTCTCCTATTCTCTCTCTATATATTTGTTTGGATTAATTAAATGTATTGTTACTAACGTAACAACGTTACATTAATGAAGGTCTCTCTCCCTCTCTCTCTCTCTTTCTCTCTCTCTACATATATTTGTTTGGATTAATTAAATTTATAGTTAATAACAAAACAACATAACACAAACAAAATGCAGCAATTTGTTATGATCATGGACAGCGTGGATTAATCATGGTGTCTCTTTTTCTGTCTCTCTCTTTATTTGTTGGGGATTAATTACATGTAATGTTAACAACAAAACAACATTACACAAACAAGATGCAGTCATCTGTAATTATCATGGACGGCGTTGAATAATCGTGGTCTCTCTCTTTCTCTTTCTATCTCTATGTATATATTAGATTAATTAAATGTATTGTTAATAACAAAACAGCATTACACAAACAAAATGCAACAATCTTTAATTACCATGGACGGAGTGGAATAATCATGGTCTCTCTCTATTATAAATATGCATGTGTGAATAGCAGGGCATGATGGAGGAAGAATTTCTAATCGACTATATCGATATCAGGGTGGGTGTTTTTTCAGATGAATCCAAATAATCAGAAAGCCGGGGGCACTTGAAGGCTTGTATATACTGTGATGAATGTATTCTTACGTTTCAATTTGGCAGATTGTCGCCAAGTGGAACAAGTTTATATACAAATGAAGAGTTTTATATCAAAAGGAATCAAATCCACTTTGAGCGTTTTCGAGTGAATCAATTGTTTTCTCTCACCACTTTCCCTCGTTAGTTATTCCTTTATATTTGTTTATATGTACATTGGGTTACATGATTTGAATTATCTTTAAAAAATCAATGAATTGATTTTGTTTTTCCATAATTGTTAGCAAATTTAATTTTTGTGGGAAAATTCTTTTTTTTAATTAACTTCTCTAATGGCAGGTACAAACAACTTTGAAGATTGGAATTCAATGCGAAAAACATTACAATTGCTAGAAGAATTTTTGTTCATCATATTTTAAAATATCGATGATTTATCTTTATAAAGAAATAATTACGAAATCAACATTCCTCTATAAAAAACAATGCTTTCGGATGTTTTATTCCCAAAAGGAATTAAATCAAAAGATAAGTAAATTTGTTTTGATTTATTTTTGCGCTGATCATCGAAACTGATAACTACACCATATCTACTTAGATCGTAAAACATACGTTACGGAAACGTGATTTAAATATTAAAGAAATAACACTTAATCGCCACACTGGATTTAATCCCCTCTGATATGAACGATTGTGAATCTAATTCTCTGTGGATTAGAAATCAAATTTGAAAGGGAATTTTGTTATTGTTTTATTTCAACATAGAGCATTTCATTCGAATGTTCAGATCCACATATTCATCATTAACAAAATATGTATCATTTTTGGATTTACCGCCTTTCGGAATTAAGCCTTGATTCATGGGTAAGATCACTTTTCATTTCCGTTCTATTCAGAGCTCACCTACACCCTAAGGTTGAATCTTTAGGGGATGAGTGGGACACGTTTGCATAATTGAAAAGGTCCGTACTAGCTCCCTTTGGTATAACTAAAGCCTCGGTCACAAATGCCATGACGAACTGCTACGCACGCCGTACGAACGATTTTCAGACAATGGAAATTCGGGAAGACGATGGAAAAACAGGGAGATTCGTACGAAATTATCGTTCGTACGAACCTTTGTGACCGTAGCATAAGGAATACCTTAGTAACGCCGATAAAAAAGGCTCGTTCATACCAGACGATGGCAAAAACCATCGCGTTTCTTGTATGATGACGTTAAAGATAAAGATGAGTTCTGGTCATCCGATTGCATTGTGAAAGAAAAGGTGTGGAATGGATCATAAAAAAGTTGACCATGTAGCATGTAAGTAATGGTGTGCACTGCAAAGTTCTGGAGTCATCAAAATCATAATAAATTTGGCCCAGTCTTGGTAAAGTAACAAGCACTGTACACAGAAAGATGTATATGGGACTACACAAATGGTGTCGGGGCTACTTTCCTAAGCTTTCTATGCTCATTACTCAGCCAGTATACATTTTCTACCAAAATTATTTCGCAAATGACATTTATTTTTAATCTTGAACATTCAGTGTAAGTTTCGTTTAATTCTGTGAGAATTAATTTTCTTTTTGTTAACCATAACTCACCTTTATCTTTAAGTGTAATACACCTCACAGAGCTTAGTGAATAAGTGCCAGTGTTTTGTTGCGCGCAGTTGCCATTTATTCACACTTATTTTTTTTTTTTAAACCATCGGCTTCGTTACTGCCGCTTACCACGCCATATCTGAACAAGCCTTATACCTCAGTCACACCTTTGCGTATTTGGCTTGCGTATTGCTGCGTATTGATGCGTATTGCTGCGTATTTATGGCAAGCCATTTTAACATTTATTCCTATTTCTTGTTATCAAGAAATTAATTCTTGATATAAAAAATTACCATTGCTTTGCAACAAAAAATCATGTCTTGATATCGAGAAATAGGAACAAACGTTAAAACGGCTTGCAATAAATACGCAGCAATATGCAAGCCAAATACGCAAAGGTGTGACTGAGGCATAAAACCGACACCATACAGTCCCCAACCCGACCGATTATTGGCAGCTGAACTCAAAGTATATTTCCTTCAGCCTTCGGTCGGTCTAGTGTTGATCTCGTTGTTGTGCCAGGGGTAGAAGTATTCAAAAGAAAACACCAGCGACAAGTTATTGCAAGATATGTATCGCCCAGCTAATTGGAAAGCCACCTCTTTTTGTTACCCCTGATCTGGAAACGCCTTTCAAGTCATCGAAGCACTAATAGCATTTCATACGTCTCCAAACGCTGTCTGTATAAGGATGTTCTGTTACGTTCAGGACGTTAAACACGCACCTGGCAATACGAGCGGGTAGAACACCAGTGTTCTGTTTTGGATGTGGGAAGCATTTTTATATGAACACGATCTCAAAGTCCTTCGAAAAAGAAGAAAACCTCAAGAAAATCGATTAGCCCTGTCCATATCCCAACTATTTATTAACGTATAACGTATCGATAAAATCCGATTTTGTTTTTCTGAGACAAACAAAAGGGTATTTTAAATGCCCTTGAGTTGACATTTCAAAAGTGTTTGCTATAGTTTTGATCCTACTTTCATAATTCAACTTTTCGTTTAAAAAATGTGTACGAGCATCCATTGCATATTTCTAGGGACGTGTATGGTGTTGATAAAGTGGTAGGCGAAGGAATTTTTCTCCCCCAAGGCGTCCACACTATCCCTGCATTTTCCTAATGCATTTTGTATGAAGGTTACGCGATAAAGCATTGTTTGGTAACCATAGAGTGTGGACAAAGTAATGAGTCTGCAGAGGCCAATTGTTCATGAATTAATTGGAGTTGTTATTGGCAATTGAATATTCCTAGGCATCATTTTCTTTGCTGTATTATTATTTTGACTTAACTCTGTTTACCCCGGTCATAGCCGAACGGCCGAATATAAAGAACTCTGGCGAGGTCACGACCCATTATACACCACGGTGGAAGATAAGAAACGTAGATTTTTTTTCCGAACGAACCTACGACCTTTGCTTTTCAAGTCAAGTGCTTAAACTACTCAACTACAATACCTGCAAATAATTCATATCACGCCCATAGCAGGTGTCAAATCTATAAAATGTATGTATTATTGCCTAATTGGCAAAGCTTAATTCATTACAGAATGCAATACATTTTCATAGACTGTCGTTATAGGATAATAAACGTGGTCAAAGTCATTTGCACTTAAATCGTTCAGATATGAAATTTTATGAAGTACTAGAAATGCGCTGAAAAGGAATGTAATTTCAATTAAAAAAAAAAAATCAATCTGACCTGGGATTTAATCGCCTGTCACCTCTCATGTGCTTTATTAATCCATTTATAAACACAATGATGAAACCACTTGAAATGTATTACTATCGTGAAAATCAACACGGAAAAACTAGAGGATTTTGCGACTCCGCTTTTGTGGCTAACCCCAGGGTACATAGTGATATAGGGTTTTAATTTTCTTCCACAACAGACAGACCTTTTTATTTTCCAAGAAGGAAACGCCTGTAGTTCTATTGGACACAATTATATTTGGTTATATTTGGTAAAGGGATCCATGCATAGGCTTATAGGCCTTGTAGGTGTCGTAGTATACAGGTTTCTTTTATAATTGCCTCTCGATCTAAGCGTTATGATGCATTGATTAAGGTTCTTTATTGTTTTCCTCTTACGTTTATTATAATTGTTATAATTATAATATAAGCGATGTCGTAACCAACTTGATGATAAGCGTCATTATCATTGATATTTTAAAGTTAAGTCGAGCACAAGCAGGAGTAAGAGGTAAATAAGACAGGAGACATTAAATGTCCCCTGTTAGCAACAGATTCTGAATATAAAACAATTACGCATGACCTTTTAACCTTTCAGCCACGCTGGTCCCTGCACGTATCAATATATCGACTAACTGTGACATTTTTGTTTGTTTGTTTTTGTTTTTTGTTCTGTTTACTTTTTCTGTGGTTAACAACGGGTACTGCAGATTACGGTTACATCTTTAAAATTATTTTCACACCATTTTGCATTTTCAGTGAATTTTTCTAAAAATATTAATTCGAATAGGCCATGTCTTTTCTTAAAGGTTTTGTTATCACCAATGAGAGCAGGATGGTTCAAATTCATACCTGTTCTCGATGACGGAGGACATTTATTGTCCTCAATAAAGGGCTTGCTATTGAATTGTTTCATATCTTGATTAGATAACGAGGGGTTATACTGCTTCGAATACCGGGTGAGGGGAACAATTTAAACTATCTTTATGGGTGTAGTGAGGGATACAAATATATAAGACTTCCTGTATAAAATCCATTGCCTTCTCTTACATCAACATTTTGTGTTCATCAGTATTTATCTTCTTTTGTTCCTTATCGTTTGTTTTACAGCTATGGTCTTGTCTCATGGCAATCTAACATAAGGATTGGATACTGTACTGACCTATCGATGTAGAGGCCACCGACCATCTGCGGTATTTGCAGAGGCATGGCTACCACGCAGATCATCGAGCACGTAATCTATTTAACAATGAATGAAAGTGCAGTTACAGAACTTGTACCACCTATGGCGAATACCTCATCGAATATGACAACCGCTGCACCGACGCATGAGGCTCATCTGGACGTTTGGGTAGTCGTGCTCGAATTCATTCTCGGTATCATCGGCATCGTGGGAAACTCTCTCATTTGCTTCATCATATGGAAGGCCAAGTTCCTTCATAATTTAACTAACTACCTCATCCTGAGTCTAGCCTTCGCTGATCTCGTTGCGAGCCTGAGTTTAGTGTGTAACGTGTTCGTGTTAGAAGCTCAACTAGGCGTGACACCAGCGAACAGAATAGCGGCTGAGCTCTACTGTAGACTCTACTCCAGTCGTTTTTTATTCTGGACCAGCGTCACAGCTTCGGTCTTCAATCTGGTGTGCGTGACTTACGAGCGATTTTTTGCCATTGTGTACCCCCTCCACTACCCGCTTTACTTTAATGAGAGAAAGGTTGTGATGCTCGTTACTGGGACATGGATGTTTGCTCTCTTACAAGAAGTATTCGCGTTTTTCGTGAACTATTACGACAAGGACACCAAGGCGTGTGGCTACGGCTATCCGACAGAAGCTGGAGGTATATTCGTCGGCGTGCTCGTTTTTCTTCTCTCGTACTTTCTCCCGCTCGTGGTCATGATATGGGCGTACTACAAGATCATGCACAATTTGAAACGCGGCGCACAACATTCGCACGCGGGAGGCGGTGTCAATAACCGCGGTGATCCTGCTATCTTGCGCGCGCGTCGCAAAGTAGTCTACGTACTTTTCACTGTAGTAATCGCCTTTGTCGTGTTATGGACTCCGAACCAGCTAGTTTATCTCTTCGAAAACTTTGGAATTATTATCGTCTCGACGGATCACACTCTTTACAAAGTTTTTCGTCTCATGGCTTTCTCGAACTCTGTCATTAACCCTATTATCTACGCGTTTAAATACAAGCAATTTCGAAAGGGGTTTCGGGTTGCTATCATGTGTCTTTGTACGTCCAACCACATTCATGATGGACAAACAGCGACAACAGAACTGTCCAATTCATGACGTATGCGAAGACTTCTAAGGAAGACAAAATGAGCTGCAGTCTATCACGAGATGGGCAATTCCACAGGGGGAGAAACGCTACAAATCTCTCAAAATGTGAACACATGGAATCTATGAAACAATATGTCTACACAATCGGTAAATAGGTCTTGATCTTCAAAAACTTAAATTACTGAAATGTATGAAAACTTGGTAACCAAAATATACTATAGTTTTAATAGATATTAATTTGACGTTTGAGAAAAACATGTTCATCACTCACAGTAGTTGAAGATTTATCAAAGACTTCATGGACTAACATGAAGTTGAAAATCAAAATATGCCGAAAATCTCATAGCAACATCTTTGTTACCGACACTTTTTGATCAGTGGAATGTAAATCTTCAGGCATAGGGTATACACAGCCAAGTGACACGGTCAAGTGACATGTACCATCTTCGTCATCGGTATATTCAATTTATTTATTTAAACAGCAAGATCTCTAAATGTACTACTTTAAGACAGTATTGATTTGTATTATATTTGCTTTAATGCTGATATGTGATTGAATTGTGAAGATGAATACTACTGAAAGAGCAAATTGGAAAAACGCTGTGTTTTAAAGCCTTTTAACATCTACCAGTTTCGTGTCTCTGTTTAATGCAGTATTCTTTATTTACAGTGACTGCATGTTTGTATCGTGTTTCTCGATCATTTAGATATTCAGATATGTAGCAATTTGTTTAGAGGTTTGGTTCTCATGTTTTCATGCCCCGCGCCTTTTGAAGAACTTGGTACACGATATACGTGCCCCAGTAGGTCATCCCTCACACCCTTTGAACTGGAAGATTATTTGGAATCATCATCTAAACGTTACAGCCTAGTCGAATTCCACTGCTGTTATAGCCACCCCACAAACAAAAAATGATAAAATAAATTTGAATTTCCTTACTTGGTCCTCTCATTCATTTACAGTTTTATTTAAACAGGGATGCTTCTACAGTTCATAAACTGCTATCCATGATGTCTCTGCACAATAAAGACATTGTATATCAAATATTACAGACTTAGTACCCTTCCGTTGCTATTTTAATAAAAACGTCTCTTAAAATGCTTACTGTTTATTCATCTTGGTCCTGCGAAAACATCGTAAAAACAAATTGCACTTAAATAAACGGTCGATTTCGGGTGGGTGGTGGCCATCGTCTTACTTTGTCCCCCCTCTCTCCTGCCTTTCCGATGCTTTGTGCGTGTATCAGGGCGAGGAGATGACCTTGTATGACTCCGTAGCTACATAATACAAAAACAAGCTATGCTTTCCAGTAGGTTCCTGTTTCATTTCATAATTTTGATCTTACTTTGTTAACTATATTCTTTAATGTGCAAACAATTGTTACATGAAATGAATAAATAAAATCAATCAATCAATCAATATGCAAATCAATGATTCTAAAGTAGCCTTTGTTGTTTATCAACACATATGAAAGGACTATTCTCAAATGTAATTGCATTGCTATCAAATTATGATTACTGTGATAAAAGGAAATAATTCAATCAATGATGAATAGGCTCTCTGCTGAGTAAAATACTTTATGGTCTAAAATGCAATTGTATTTCAATTAAGCTTCAAACGTTACTGCTGTGAAATTGTTATCCTCCAATGCTGAATATATTCGATAACAAGATTAGGGGACGGACCATATCTCAATTTCGTTTGTGCTGAAATGGAATAAAGGCAGGATATTTTACCAATATCGTTAACGTTATTGTAATGTAATTTCTTTTGTGCGGTCTTTGGGTGAAGGCGTACATAGAGCAACTTCCTGTTCCTCTACCCAGGCATCACCACACGCATGTCATGCAGTTGGTGATGCATTGTGGGACATAACTGTCGAAACATCGAGACATTGTGAGAAGTAGATGCCAGTATATATATACGCAAAGCTAAAATTGTTTCAGTAGAATAGCCTGCCTTTACGATTACAATATTTATTAGTGATTGGGTGGAAATATTGTTATCATAAACCATATTATAACATATGTGTATGAAAAGAGGAACGGTTGTGGATTTTTTTTTCTTTCTCCATCCAATCATTTCGTGGGCCGCACCTTTTTAAAAGTTTCTTTAGGCGATAATCCGAATATCTAATGAGATAGTGATTTATTTCCTTAAAGTCTCGTCGCTGCTGTAGCAATACGGTGATAAGGGAAGGCGATATGAAAAAGCGCGGTTTCAAGTAAATAACAACGACAAAATAAATCTGTTTTCATCATATTATCATTCTAGAATTACGAGCTGTAGCGTAATACGTGCAAATGCTTTTTGGATAGAATGATTAGATTTATTGTTTTGTACTGTTTAATCGAAAAATGATTTTGCACTTTTAATGAAATGTGAAATAAAATACTTAATCAGTATGCAACCAATTCTTGTTAGAAGCCACATGCTGACTTAGGGTGAAGATAATTATGTAGACTTATTATCGGTTAGAGATTCTTCAAAACGGAATTCGCAAAGAAAAAGTTTAGCTGAAATTTTCAAGCATTCTTATTCATGTATTTCACTTTTACGAAGGTCAAATTATTTTGTCGTGTGTAGGCAATAATAATTGCAAATAGATTCATGCGAAATTATTGAACTTATCATTCGTATTTCATTTGGAAACACTGACACCTACATGCTAGGTATAGAAACTAATAGTATATTGTTGTTGTCTAAGACAATAACCCTTAACACTATTTAAGGCTCGTTCAGATATTACACGCCGCGGTAAACCGCCATCAAATAAAAACGCGCGGCGGTCTTTTTTAATAATCATGTAAACAAATAGCAAATTTCCTGTGCGTATTATTGAGTTTTATGTTATACGATACAGAAGTGCGAGGATTATTCCACTTGACGTCATTGTCTTACAATAAAACTACCGCGGTTTTACCGTGTTATATCTAAACGAGCTTTTAATGTTGTTCTCTAGTTTCTTATGAGCTGAACTTGCAGATGCAACTGTTAAAGTTTGATATATAATGTGATTGTAGTTGATTATCATGGTTCTGCATTCATTATTGCGACAGCACTTTAATACTGTTGATTTATTGTTATTTTATTGTTATTTTTAATCAATGTAAATTTTGGTTACCATGGTTACATGACTTAGTGTGATATTAATGTGTTTTTTTTTTGGCGTGTTTGTATTTGATCAAAACCATTTGTGTAAATACTTTTTCTCTGAGGAGATAATGTGAGCAACCCAAAAGGGATCTATGTGACTTACTCTACTGAAATTGTAAACACTGAAAGTTGTTTAAAGAATAAATAATATATTGAAGCACACACTAAATCGACACTCCGTTTTTATTGACTTCTTCGTGTCATCCGTAGTTTGGTTCGGTCAATATTCATTCTTTAGTTTAAGAAAACTCATGCAAACATGCAAACGTTAAAATATATTAATACAAATCATTTCAAAGGTGAAATACAACGTATATTAAATTAATTCATAACAAAATAGAATAGAAAAAGCCTATTTCTTTTAGGCATGACAAGTTAATGCTCTCAACAATTGGCAAGTTATCACATAGGTATTTCGGCAGAAGAGAAAAGGTAAGATAAAACAATAGTGTTAGGGTATTAAATTGAAAAAAACTGATAAAACAAAGACAACCTATTGATAAACAGGTGTAAAACCCTATCGGAAAGACTTTTGAGCATTCAAGTTAAAGATAAAGGTGAGTTCTGGTAAAAAGAAAAGAAAAAAATTCTCACAGAATCAAACAAAAATTACACTGAATGTCCAGGATTACAAATAACTGTCATTTGCCAAACAATTTTGGTAGAAAATGTATACTGGCTGAGTAATAAGCACAGACAGATAGGGAAATCAAGGGTAGTAGCCCGACATCTTTCTGTGTACAGTTCTTGTTACTTCACCAATACTGGGCCAAATTTATTATGATTTTGATGACTCCAGAACTTCGCAGTACACACCAATACTTACATGCTACATGTACATGATCAACTTTTTCTGATCCATTCCACACCCTTTCTACAATCGGATGACCAGAACTCCCCTTTATCTCTAAGTACAATGGTAATACCCTATAATGTATCCCTTAAACAATTTGGTTGCATGATACGTCATTATTAGTTCGGAGATTTGAATGGATAATGGCCAATGCTATATTGTCTTTAAATTGGTTGATTTTCCAAAATTCGATATTGTTTTAATGTGTCCTTTATCAGCATGATTAATGCAATCTCTTCAAAGTCACGTGCCCAAACTTTCCTGCATGTATTTACGCCCCCCCCCCCCCCCCCCCCACTCCGGGAACGGAGGAACCGCATTTATGTTCCCAAAATGTCTGGTAAAGGGGTACTTTTCACGCAGCAAAGTCCGGCTCGTAACACACACACAAAATCGGGACGTATTGACTTTACACACCGGACCTAGGGGGGAGGGGGGGGGGGGTGATTTCAAAAGGAGTGAACATGCATACGCGTACCCTACATAACACTGAGTGGGGGGGGGGGGGTTTACACTAATGAATTTTCTTTATGCCTAACTGTAGAATTAGTATATCGTTTGAACTTTTATATTTTTCGTATGTACATTTAAAGAAGAAAAAAAGAAAAAAATAATGATGCTTACATATTTACCCTCAAGTCGTGGACCTCTAACAAATTGAAGAAAGAAAAATGATGAATTGAAAATTATATCCATCAACAAATTAACTTGACAAGCAAAGGTAGAATGATTGACGATTTCAAGTATCGCTCTAATACGAGTGATAAAGCGACTCAATTTTCTTTCTTGGCATTCGACTGTTTGTATCAATGTGCAATCAATAAACAGTTAAAGTACAACACAAGTTTATGTGGAGGAACGTGAAGGGGGCAGTTTGCCCCACCAAACAGATTTCGAACAGAGGGGAAAAAATGAAATGCTGCCACAATTTGTCATGCACTGCTAGTTAGTAGGTTAGGCGATCCCTTCTATTTCAGTAATTGTAAGAATGCAAATGAATTGACTGGGTTTGATTTAAATGGTTAGATAACAAATAATACGAGTTGCTGTTATAACCATCAATAAGATATAATTGTATGCATTCCTAATAAACTGATAAAAATACAAAATAATGATATTTAATAACAATGATGTCGCTTTTTTACTGTATAACAGTACGATTTAAAATTGGAAAATCAAATATTCAGCATAAGATTAGGCATGAGGTATAGTCACATTCGTAAAGAGGGAAACAGAAATCCCAAATAGTAATTATGGACGCCCCCCCCCCCCCCGTACCCCCGTTACGCAAAGCAAAGCAAGGCCATACAAGAACACGATTTCTTTAATGAATTATTTGGATAGCATGTAAGCCGAGATGTTTTTCCCCCCTCATGCTAAGGTCTGGATAATGCTGATATTAATGAGAACATCGTCAACAACAACAACAACAACAACAACAAGGATAAAGGTAATATAAATACCCCCATAATGAACAACTTATGATAATGATAATATGATAATGATAATTATATTGATAATGATAACATTTTACGAAGGGAAGCCTCACTGGCATGATCATGATAGATTAAATTATTATTATCAATTAAGAAACTACGAGGTACCGCGTAGAGAACCATAGTCATGTATAGTAGCAAACGTGGATCAATGTCTTACCACAGGACGTTAGTGCAGGGGTAGGATTGAACCCTTAAAGAGAAGGTTGAGTTCTGGGAAGAGGTGAAAATAATTTGTAAGCGTTATCATTCTTATTATGCAAGTGTGGAAGAACATCAGATAAGACATGTTCCCTGAAAAGCATGGCTCTTCAAATGCCTTCATATTCTAAATATATGTCATGTAACATCGTTAACATCCTACCCGGATTTTTATGCCACGTGTTCGTGTAGTCCCATATACATCTTTCTGTGTACAGTGTTTGTAACTGTACCAAGACTTGGCCAAATTTCTTATAATTTTGATGATTTCAGAACCTTGCAATGCACACAAATTCTTATATGCTAGATGATCAACCTTTTCTGGTCGATTCCACACTGTTTCTTTTACAATAATAATAATAATAATAGCTTACATTTATAATGCGCCTAATACTTTGTTTCTAGGCGCGGAACATATTATTACCCCGTTCAATGCAATGCAATGCAATCGCATGATCAGAACTCAACTTCATCTATAACCCTTGGAATTGAGAGTCGAATGAATGAACCACTATACCACAACACCTCGATTGATACGGATCGCATGTGAGATGAGACGTGTTCCCCCTCCTAAGGGAGGTCAACGTCAGGATGCGCCACAGGAGTAGGCCACAACCTTAAAGTGACTCGGTAACATTGCCTCAGGTTCTGAAACAAAATCCTTGATTTAGCTTATGCTGCAATCATAATTATAAACCTTTAGGTCAGTCAGGAATCCCATGACTTTTACAAGCCGATCGCCTGTCTGATTATCAAGATATTGATGAATGGAAATCGAAATTTCACTTTTCGATTTCCTAATAACGGTTTTCGTAACACTATAGTATATTGGTGAAAATGAGTAATGGTAAAAACGGTCAGTCAAAGATTTTTACCTCTTTGAGGCACTTCATGATCATTTGCTTTTTTTAGGGCTTCAATATTACACCATAATGCAAACACTGATAATACGTAGGGCCATGCATCACATATTTAATATTGTTAAACGATGCCTTTAAGGTTAATAGATACAACATTACGACTTTGGAGAAGTGTCTTCCGTGACGGTCCAGTTGTTCGACGTGGTGTCCTTTACCTTCTCGCATTCCTCGCAAAGCATGCCAGCATAATGTATTGTATTCCCACTCCGCATCGTCAGTGAGAGATATGGCGCCAGTCATGGGGAGCTGATAGCCTGCAGGTCACATGATTATTCTGGTATTTGAAATGATATTTCTTATCTTTTCCTGTAATACAAACTTTGAACGCGGATTCTAACCTAAAGGGAAGGAACTAGTGAAGGTAATTTGCTACTAGTATTTCACAGTTAAAACTATTGAAGACATTCACGTTTTTGATGTCAATATATTTTAAGTGAAATAACTGTGGAGCGCCACAAGTAGTAGAAGTAGTAGTAGTTACTGTAGTCGTAGTAGTAGTAGTAGTAGTAGTAGTAGTAGTAGTAGTAGTAGTTGTAGTTGTAGTAGTAGTAGTAGTAGTAGTATATTAGTAGTAGTAGTGGTGGTTACGCACTTAAGACTATTTTCCTGTCTTCCAGTTGGCTCCCTCCGCAATAATAACATGTTCTATATCATTACACTTTAATCAATCACTTATGCTCTTTGTCAATGTTACTGTAAATGTTCACATTTTGTTTTGGTATTTGTTTGTTGTTATTGTATATACATGTATATATCTGTTATATGTAATGTACATCTTTGTACTTTTATTATTGTGGAAAATAAATGAACTGAACTGAACTGAACTGAACTGTAGTAGTAGCAGTAAATCCCTTAGACTGCAATGTCTGTAGACTCGTCTGTTTTAACTCATGACAGGGCAACCTTTGCCATATGCCGCATACGAAGGATTCCTTTTAAATAGACCTAGGCCTCAGAACCAATGGAAGCAGATTGAAATCATTATATTAATCGCCTGCATCAATTCCAGTTTGTTTTTCACTCATACAAAAATAAAAATTCATGTTAGATTGAAAACAGAGGTGTAAGAGAAAGAAAGAAGAAGACAAAAATTATTCCATTAAAGAGTTTCCGAAAGATGCTCCACCATTATCAGTTTCCAAATCAATCTCCAATATAAATTTCCAATACAAGTCAATTTGATGATGGCCATCCCGTGTTAATGACCAATTACAGCGCATCTTACATGCACGCATGATCACCACGGTATTTTTAACGCATAATAGAAGCTGATTTCAATCAGTTTGTGCGCTATAGTTAACCACTATTTCCATTCCAAGACGTGCGACCTTAACCTTTTTTAAGTGACCAGAATTATTTACTATTCCATTATAATAGACAGGAGCACTTCAAGAAGAAGGAAAAACATCTAATGGCCTGTTTTCTCCCAACCTAGTTTTTCCCACAAATTTCTAATACAGAAGTAACCAGAATTATTTACTATTCCATTATAATAGACAG